CCTTTTGTTTTCAAATTTGGTCTTTGTGATATTGCTGGGTATCCCCAATTTGTAACATTCCAATTACTGTCATACTCTAATGCAGTATTAGTCTTGAATTTTCCCCACCATCCAGGCCTAAGAAATTTTGATTACTGTTTAGATTTATGCAATTAAAAAATATTTATTAACTTAATTCTATAAATATTTACCATTCAGTATTAGTCTCAATATTATCAATATTTATTTGCCCATTATTTAGAGGCCGAGGACAAAATGCAAATCCGCCTATTTATATCAAATTAATAAGGATTAACTTATTGAAAACAATAAATACCTTTTGTATTTACTTTCTGTCGTTCCAAAATCTAGTAAAATAATACCAAATTTAGCGATTGGATTAATTTATCATCAAAACTTTCTTTGAAATTTTACCTATTCCAACGACCAATTGAGTTTTCTTTCTCTCAGCCAATGCTAGTTGTGGAGTATTGAAACCATTTGTTGAATGTATCACGCATGTTTCTCTATTTCTTGGCGTTAGGTTTATTAATTTGTGATTGCTAACATAATTGCTAGAATGAATCGTTGGGTTTGTTGCCTTCGGAGGGATTGCCTTCGGAGGGATTGGTGGTCCCTCATATTCTTCATACGCACCATCTTTGCAACAGGTAGATCCCATTATTTTAATTAATTTTTCGGAACTTTTCGTTACAGTCGTATCGCGCACTATTTCGATTTATCAATGTAGTTAAAATTGATCCATATTCTATCAAGACACCATATTTATAAAAAAAAAATGAGGGTATCACGACAAGCAAAAAACATATTTGTTGAACAATAATCCTTTATCATTGATTGGTTAGCTAGATTTTGTATCAAATCTGTTATTATCTTATTTCCAAATTTGATTGTATGTATGACTCATTTTACCGTCAAATAATATCGTACATGTATTCGTTAATTTAAAATTGATAATTTAAAATAATTATTTCCTTTTATGCTTAGGATCTACATGTATACTTTCGCTATAATAACACAATGGAGTTTTTCCAATTTATTTATAAGCTTCTAAGAAAATTTATTCATAATTAATGCATGCATGAAATTTGAATGGAACACAAT